TAATAGTAGCTAGTTATAAGAATAATTAATTATTATTATAGGGTACTTAAGAAGAGATAATAAGAGGTTGTAAATAGTAGGGTAAATAGGTAGTTATATTAAAGTATAAGGTGATTGCTTAATTATTCTAACTATAGAGAGGAAAAAGTAGGGTATTAATAGTAAATAAATCGGACTTCCCTATTAGGTAAACCAGACTTTCCCTATTAGTTAATTAAGGTTATAGTATAAGGTTTAACTAGTTATACCCGTTAAAGTTTAATAAATAGGGTTTTAATCTAGTTATGCTTGTTATACTTTATTAGCTATATAACGGTTAGATACGCTTAGATATTTCTTAGGTCCGTGCGTATAAAATATATATTACTATAACTTATATTATAGCGGATTTAACTATAATAAATTTAATATTATAAATAGTATATTTAAACTATTAATTACCCTAAGACCTTTAATATAAGTTATAACCCTTAAGGAGATAAATTCTATTTTTTATAATTATTTTTATAAGAGATAAAGTATATAGTATATAAAATTATCTATATATTAATTAAAAGGAAGCTAATTAGTAGTCTAATTTATTTTAAAGTTTTTTATTATTTTAAATCTTTTATAAAGTTATTAAGATAAACTAAAATCTTATATATACTCTCTTTTAATAATATAAATATATTTATAAGTATTATAAAACTTAAAACTACTTACTATATCTTTAAATATATCCTTTTATATAAATCTTTTTCATTTATTTACTACCTTAATAAAACCTAGAAGTAATAATAATATTATCTTTTCTAAGTATTTTATTTATATTATTAGTAAAGATTTAAGCTTACTTACTTTTAAATTTATTCTAAACTTATTAATTTTTATAAGTTAGAAGTAATAATTAAATCTCTTCTTAATTAAGGTAATATATATATATATATATATAAACTAAAAATTAAATATTATTTATTATAAGTATATTATTAAAAAGCTACCTAATAAGAGATTTACTATAATTATATATTTTAAAAACCTTAAGTTTATTAAGAATATAATTTTAAATAGTAAAATCCTAAAAGTATAATAGTAAATAAATAATTACTATTAAGGTTTAAGTAAAACAGTTTTATACTAATACTAAAGCTAAGTATATTAATATAATTATAAACTTAACTTAAATCTATCTATATATTTATCTTATAAGAAGTTAATTAAGTTTACTAAAACTATAATTAACGATTAACTATAAAATTAGTATTTAAGTATATATATTTATACAATTATTTTAGAGTTTTTTCTAAACTTTAGCTTAATATAAGAAGATGTTATAATTTAAAGCTTGAATTAATTATAAAAAGCTTAGTAAGTATAGCTTTAATTAAGCTTTTTAACTAATAAGACATCTTAAATTCTAAAATAAGTAAAAATTAAGTAATAATAAATTACTATTAATAATATTATACACTATTATAGTATTATAGTATATATATAAAGTAACTATTATATTAAATTAATATAATAATAGTTAAAGAAGATAAGAAACTAGAAGAATTTTAATTCTAATTATTAATTAAATTACTATTTAACTTATAATAAATTATTATACTATTAATATTAGTAAATATAGAGATAATTAATTAAAAAAACTTTTAAAATAATATTACTTATATACTATATTAACTTAAATACTAAACTATAAGCTAAGAAGTAATTTAAAGCTATTCTTAATAATAGGTAAAAAGACAATCTTACTATATAAATAATTGCCAAACTTAATAATAAGAACTATAATTATATCTATATCTTAATAAGTAAAACTGTACTTTATAATTATAAAGGAGTTTTTAAAATATAAAAGTTAGTATATTATTTACATAGAGAGTATTTATATAAATATAAGTAAACCTTTATAAAGAGTTTAATAACTAAAAATATATATAAAATTACTTTTATAAAATAACTTATAATTAAAAGTATAATAAGTATATTATTTCATATATTAATATTAAAGCTTTATTATTTATATAACCTTAAGGATAAAGCTAAATAATAATAATATTAAAAGCTATTTCTTTAATTAACTTAACTATTTTAATTATTTAGTTAATATAATATAAAATATACTTAAGAATTAAAAGTTTATTTTAAGTAAGCTTATGTATAAAATAAAGTTTTTAAAAGCTATAAGTTTTTAAAAATAAAATTAAATACTATAATATAAGGAGTAGTTAGCTACGCTAACTTAGCTAATATAGAAGAAGACGAGTAGAGTACACCTCCCTATAAGAGGATTAGGGATAGTAGTTTAGCTTAAAGACCTTAAGCTAAGTATAGTAATACAACTAACCTACTTATAATTCCTAAGCCTTCCCTAATTAAGCCCTTAGCTACTTACTATCTCTTATATTTAGAAGTTTTAAATAATATTCTTATAATAATATCTTAGTTTAATTATTAAGTATAGAAAGAGCTTATTAATAAATAAAAAATATTTCTTATATTTAGAAACTATATAAATAAATATATTATCTTTATAAAGTATGATATTATATATTATTATATTATCTAACGTTATTTTAAATTATAAATAAGATATAATTACTAAATTATAAGAATTAAATATATATATATATTAATTAGTAAGGTTTTTATAAGATTATATTAATAAAATCTAACTTAAAGATTATAAATAAGTCTTTAAAAATTTAAAAATTTAATATAACTAAGTTTATTTTTTATTAATTAAGAAATAATAATTAATTAGTAACTAACTACTTAGATAATTATATAACTAGTTATAAGATTAATAACTAAGCTAACTAATTATAAAGTTAGTAATTTAGCTAATTAAGAATAGATTATAAATACTATAGATTATTATAAAGGTTTAACTAAGCTATTTAATAAAGATTATGTAAAAATAATTAATAATTAAGTATCAATCTTTTCTTAATAATAATATAAAGCTAAGTAATTATTCTAATATAAACTAAGTAATTAGTTTTCTTTTAATAGAAAAGTTATAAATAAGTATTTATAAGATAAAGTGTTAATAATAACTACTTAGAATAATAGAGTTTTTAAAATATTAAAAGTAAAAAAGGCATTTTTACTATATAAGGGGAATAGAATTAGAAATTAATTAAGATTTATAAAGATATATAATTTAGTTTTATAAATCTTAATTAAGAGGAATAGTTATAAAGTATAAAAATAAGAAGGTCTCTTTATAACTACTAAATATTACTAGTAGGGGGGCTAGCTTTATAATTTTAAATAGAAGTAAACCTTTATATATAATAATTTAGGGTATTAGTAAAGCTAGCTTACTATCTTTACTAAGTTATTATAGTAAGTTAGATAAATTCTAACTAATTAAAAGATAGTATTTTATATCTTTTAAAAATTATACCCTTATTATTTAATACTTATACCCCTTAATAATCTCTATATAAATAAAATAATATACTAAGTAATTAGCTTTAAACTATTAATTTTATCTCTTTATTAATTATGAATATATATCTAAATAAAATATATTAATACTACTTATTATACCTAATCTAAATAATTTCTTTAATAATATAAGGTTTTTTACTTAGTTATTATATCTTATATTATTTTATATATAATATAATATTAGTAGTATATTTATTTATATAAAGTATATTTAACTATATTATAATAATAAGTTATTAATTAAATTAATTACTTTTTAATATAAAAGAATATAAATATATAATTATAAAGTCTTTTATATAATACTAGTAAAAGTTATATAAAGCTTATTCAATTTAATATTTTAATACTTTAAAATCTCTTACTTTAGTATACTTACTAAAGTAATATACCTACTTATATAAGAAAACGTATATTAATAAAATCCTAATATCTTAATTTATTCTTCCTTACTAGAGAGTCTTTATACTGATAGATATACCTTTTTTACTTTATAATTAGTAACACTATAATATAGTATTTTAAAATTAATTTATAAAGCGTTAAAAACCTATTTCAACTAGCTATTAGCTAGGCCTTAGTATAGGCTAGCTACCTAACTAGCTAAGCTATAGTCCTTTTTTTTACCTATTATAAAGTTAGGTTATTAATTTTCATAATACTAATCTTATTTATAATAAGTTATCCTTATTAAGTAAAATATTTACTATATACTTTAGTTTATTATTAATTCTTTAAATATAAGATAACCTTTTTTCTCTATTAAAATATATTAAGTAAGTATAAAAGTAACTTAGAATATTAACATTATACTTATATAACTATCGATATAGCATAGGCTCTTGCTATAGAATAGGGAGGTGGGCAGTTGGCAATGGACGTATTCGATATCGACACTCCATTTTCGACTACTTGGGCAGTTTTGGAATTTTGCGCAGAAATATAAGCTTGCTGGGTGCGGGCGGAACCGGTGCTTCAGGTTCAAATTTCCCTCCAAGTATTTCTTTCTACTCCGATTGAATACAGAAGGCTCAGTAAGTCTCGCAGTCAAAAAGTGATTGCACGGGGCGCTACGGGCGAGCTCAATGGCTTTCCCGTCCTGGCCAGAGAGCACATCCCTATGGCACGCTGGAGCCCGCTGTAGCTACTTCCAGTTTAGTGATGTGAATCACAGCCATCTTGTCTTTTGTTTAGGGGTGCAGTCGACCAAGGTTGTTTCCGTAAGTGTTGCAACGGTCCAAACAGGTAGACGAGAATCAGATCCTCACTAGCATAATGCAGCCAGCCTATGGAGCCTTGATACTGTCATTGTGTCCGATGCCAAACTGTCCGAGCATTCAGTCAAACAAAGTCCTACTGAGCCTTTGCAAGACGAAGTATATATGTCATCAGTAAGAGAAAACATTTCTCCTTGTCTTTGAAGAGCTCTTCGCTCCAATGCCCCCTTTAAGGGACTTAATTACGGGTTTGTCCTGCGACTTGTGGGCAACTATCGTTGAACTACTAGAACCCGCCAACAAAATTACCGTCTCTCTTGCCCTGAAGGAGATCCCTCAAGCCAGCGTAACAGACCTGAGGAGGTCGAGGAACTTCGGCTGAAAGCAGTCGACAGCCCAAGCCCGCAAGGCCCGGAGCAATGACAACACTTTGTAGCATCCGATAAGGGTCTCTGTCCCTTCCACCGTAACCCATTCAAAAAGATCCTGAAGGCCAGCCATGTTAGCTAAGGGTTGGTTGCAAGGGTTGGTATACTCACAATGCGATCCGGTCTCTCAATTGCCAGGTAGACGTGCCAAACACGGCCCGAAACATGCAGGAGAGGTAGTGTCAGGCCTATTGGCAAAGGACTCCGGGCCAGCTTGTGGAGACGGAGGAAATGAGACGCCACCCAGACGGAGAGTTGTGCCTTGGCTTGATCGTCGGAGCCTTCGGGCTGCTTAGTCTCGATGCTGACGGCGATGGGACTCAATCGTAATGGTGGGTATTCCGTGTGGTTGATGGACTGCGTAGCCTCTGCCACAGCAGTTGTTGACTTTGCGCTTCGTCTGCTGCCTCGCGAGGTCACTGAAGAAGCGCTCGATGCTGCAGATGAGGTGGGGGGCTCTTGGGCGAGCAGGGCAGCACGTGCTGCTTCTTGCACGTCGGGGCTGTTGAGAACGATGCAATAGTCGATCATCTTTCCAGCCAAACTGTCACCGTCGGTGTGTCGAGGCACATACACGTTAGATATACTGGCTTTTGTGGCGTCCAAATACCTGACGTCCTCTCCAATCGTCCCATTTTGCATTGCATCAATTTCGATCCCAGCTTCGAGCATTGGGGCGTGAATACGCGCGTTCCAATGCGCTTCAGAGTATGTGTAAACGTTAGCAGCCATTGTCTCCCTGGCGACTTTCGAGAGAGTCCAGAGTTCTCCGAGAAGCGAATCCCTCGTTTGTGTGTTTGCGCCGTCTGTGTTTATGTGGTAGGGCCTGAGTTTATGTAAAGGGTTGACCTGATCGATACGCTTTCGCACTTCGTCGATAATGGACTCGGGGACAACCTGGCAGCCATCACTGATGTCCACGAGACGCTCGCATAGCCCTCTAACATCTTCGGGAACATCTTGTTGTGGTATCCTGGGCACAATCTGGACACGCTTTTCTGCAAAGAGAAGGTCTGCCATTCCTTTAATGCCCTTGGTTGGACTTCGAGAGCGTCGGCTGGAGGCCTCGGAGGCAGACTTTGATGGTAAGGAGAACCGCGGCGGTGGGTCGATAGCACTTCGAGAGCTTTCTTCAGTGCTGCGCTGGGTGAGACTGGCGGCGTAAGCCGAAGGGAACCCTGGCGGACCTGTGAGAATCAAATTCCTGTTCGGAAGATGCAGGTTTTGGTCGAGTTGAGGTTCCGCAGCGCGGTGTCGAGCTCCTCGCGGAGTTGGTGACGCGAAGTCTGTGCTACCCAGCTCGTCCTCCGACTCTGAATCTATACTGTCTCTCATGACCACATCAGTCGGTGGTTTCGTCGAAGTCGACTTGAGATTGGCTGCACGAGGGGTTCGGGGTGTTTGCTTCATGTTGGCATCCATGGATCCGAGAGGAACTCGACGTTTCTTTGCACTTTGCGGGGTATTGCGGCTGCCGATGTGGATAGGAATGGTGTCTGTTTGGCCTCGATGGGCTGAATTTTCGACTACAAGCTGACTTCGCTTTCGCTTTCGTGAGAATGGTTCGTTGATTGCCGTCGCGGCATCGATCTTAGGTTGCCACTGAGAAGCTGGTGTTGGACCGGCTTCAAGCACTTCCTGAACCCAAGCCTCAATGACAAGATTCCGAGTCGGATGCGCACAGCACTGCACTGCAGAGGGCATTGAGACGGATTGCCTTGGTCGTAAGAGGGTGAGAAAGCCGGGCGGGGATTGTCTAATGCATGCGTTCGTTGATGGTATTGCTATGATGTTGCGCTGGAGCAGCTTGATTGAACGTTCCTTAGATAGCGCATGTTGGCCGGGCAACTATCAGCGATATTTGCTGGTGACAGCTCGTCGGCAAAACTTCGGATACTGTAATGTATGTCACCACCACAAATTCGAGGTGGGGTAATCGTACACACCCAAGTCCCGCGATTACATGATCCCCACTTCCCCAGTCCCCCCATCTCCAGCTTCCTACCGGGGTATGCATATCGTCAGGGGGTAATGTGTTTTCTCTTGAGCCTTGCACTACGGTAGAGTAATGTTTTTTTAGGCATTTAATCAGCTAAAAAGTTACTACAAAGCGGCCTAAATGACCTGCCTATGTGCCTATGGATGTTGGAGTTAATGACCTCTATTTTGTTCTAGACAGTTGGCAGTGGCTAAGAAATGGCTTTGATCGCTGCTGTGGCGCGAATTTAGAAGGCGTTATCTGTAGTCAAGCCAGAGGATTGAGACTTGCAAGTGCAGACTTGGAAGATTACCTATCAGCTTTACAGAACACACTGGCAAGCTGCATCGAAGTCTACAGTCGAACGGTTTTGGGAGCCTCAAACTAGTTGAAGTCAACTGCTAGAAATGAAGTAGATTGATTTCGCCCAAACATGGATTGTCGCAAGCTCCATACCAACAGAAGCAAAGGCACCTACAGGTAGTCTAGAAAAAAGGTGTTCGAAGCTGGGAATGAAAACACCTGGCGCCGTTGGTGGTTCCTGGGCCGACTTGCTGAACTCTCGAGGTCTCTTGTTTTCTCTGTCGCCTTAGCCAGCGCTGACACTGCCAGAGGCCCCGCGCTGCTGAGCTCTTCAATCAAGCAGATCAATGACTTTGGAGTCACTGGCAACCTGAATGCTCGTGAGGGAGAGGTAACCCACGGTGGAGATGCAGTGGCGGCGGGGGGAAGACAGGGTCTCTTTTATTCTCTCCTCGAAGGATATTGTAACGTGGGCCCGACATAAACGTTCTGAACCATCAGCAAAGAGGACTTCGGTTATTGTGATGTCGTTGGCAATGGTAAAGATACCAGCAGGCAGGTGAGTGTCATGAACCTGCCATGTTTACTCTGCGGTATGTTGTCATCGTGGAACTACGTACTTCAGGTCATCCGCACCTGCACCTCCAGAACGACCCTACACCTCACATACCGGCAAGTGCCTTGGTTATAGCCGAGCTGAATTCGGCAAGACACGTATTTCCACGTACTTTCCTAGAGTAAGAGAATAGGAACCCGGGACAGATGTTCCGTTTCTGCTAATTGCATCCATATCAATCTATCCGCACCTTAGCTTCTATTATCTGACGCCGTAAGGTGCATCCGCAGGCCTCTCGGCCTCTGCCAGCTCAGTGAGCACCTCCAATCATACAGCAACAGCCTGGTTATTACAATCACCACCATTGGAGCAATTTCTCGAACCTCCAGAATCACAGCAGCCATGCACAACAGCCAACATATCCTGTCACTTTATCGACTCCGCCCCTCTGTTTTGATCATCTCTCAATCTACCTTGGTCCTGCAAGACGCTCTACCCCCTGAGGCACGCCAATTACACGCGGCACGATAAAAAAAGAAGCCTAACTAGGTCAAAGTTTAAGGGGACATCGAGCAGTGAGCGAATATGATATTGGCAGTCTTGGGGTATGGCGATGGGACCCTCAGAACCTGGCCTCCTTTGCTCGGTATTTCACGTGTTGATCTTCTCAAAATGTTCCCCGATATTGTATGGTAGGCTCCTTTGCGGAATGGCTTTGCCTTTGAATTAGTGAGTGCGGTGGATCGCGTTCATGAAATGCAACAAATGCGTAGCCCAACCATTCATGTTATTCTGCAGAACTTTCAACTCATCGTCGTTTTTTACATCAACGTTGACAAACTGATTTGATGTACTCACGTACCCCCCAGTCAGAACGACTAGAACTCACCTTTTGGCCACTGTTAATTGAATAAACGTGTATACTCAGTTGCATTAAGCAACTGTTAAAGCGCATGTCAAGGCGTCCAGCAACCGATAACCATAGTTCCAGTTACTAGAGACTCACTTTATGAAATACGCGCAGTGCAGGCTACTGCAGGCCGTAGCAATATCCCCTAAAGTCCCGCAATGCTGCAGTCCTTCTTGATGTCACTAACAACATCCCATTCCGTTCAGTTAGTTACAAACTCTGCTCCTTGCAGCGCGAGCTCTGCTCTGTGCTTCTTGGACTTACTGTAGAAAGATTTGCGGAACCACTAGTCACAGGAGGGCTGTCGATAGTTAGGGTTCGATACAAAGTCCCACCTTGTCATGTCTTGAGATGCGGTGATGGCGACAGTAGTGTTGGTGATTAGAAGAATAAGAACCGTGATGAGGGAAGTGTCCATGCCTCGTTGCTCCATCTCAAGGCGTCCAAATCCCAGTTAGAAAGGACTTAGGCGGCCTCATCTTACGTAGAACTTCTAGAAATCTCTGATCAGCGACACAGTCTTTGCTTCCGTCTCCTGTTATTGTCATGGAGCTCAACCGTCGTTCACCGCTTCACATCCGATCAAAATGGATTCTGCGACTATTGAATCTACGATGTCCTTTCCAAACAAGCATCCAGGCAACGGGCTCCGGGGCTCACTTTTCAGAGAGACTTTCGCCAGGCGGCTCGAACACACACTCAGTCACATCAGTTGCTTTGGTTGCAAAAACTCAGTCGATGAATCCTTCCCCTTTTCTGTCATGAGCGCCCAAATGTCTTCCGTCTTTGCAAGTTCAACTAAAGCAGATATGTCAGGTTGTACATCTTCGGTCGTTATAACAGACAGATTCAGCCCAGAGATTATCAGTCTCGAATATAAATGCCGTATCTGTTGTGTCTCCAGCCCGGCAAATGGCTTAACTATAATGCCATCAACAAGCTGCTCACCAGTTTGCCCACACCTTCTGATAATGCGTGGGCAGTCGTGGACAGCCTTGCACTACACACCTACAGTAAGACTGTTCGACCAAAACTCAGGAACAAGCTCGCAGCGGTGAAACAATTCTACATTCAGTTACTGATTAGAGGGAACCATTGGGTCTTGCTGGTCTGTGATAAACAAGCTCAGACTCTGACCCTTTGGGATAGCTTGTGCCGCTTGACAGTCTCAGCAATCCCCGATTCTTACTCTACTTCCGGCGGGGTTTGCCAAAGTCGTCTTGAGTGGTCTAAAAGAAACTGGTATGTCGGCCAGTGATACAGAGGCTGTGGTAAACATTGAAGTTCTCATTGAACCACAGGTAGGTTTCGGGTTCCTAGCACGGCCATTATGCGAACCAGAAGCGACATGCTTAGCTGACAAACTTAACCAGGCACCGCGGCAAACCAACCTTGACGACTGTGGTGTTTAACTTGTTTCCACGGTCGAGTCGCTCATCCTTGGTCGTGACCCCCGAAAGCCAATTGCGGCGGACAAACTGCGAACCTCATACGCGGCCCGATCATTCACATCCCCAGACGCATGCCCTGCCGCATTTACAAGAAAGGCAATTTGAGTCGATTTTAAGGACCATTTTTCGAATCTACAAGCATACAAAAACATGCTGTTTCACTCAAAGAAGCTTTCTAGCTTTGAGGCTGTTCTACGAATGCATGCTGCTCACTGCCGCATCGAGTTTTTGGCCTCGAGCCTTATTCGACTACACAACCGGCATCAAGAGACGACGGTGACATTAATGGCCCTTGAAAAGACGGTAAAGCCGCTCAATGACCAGAAGCTGTTGTATTTCGCGCTTCAAGGCGTTGTAGCTCTGTCCCGAGGTTGGCACAAGCCAGCTGATGCTGGACTCGCACAGTCCGTGCTCGAGATGGCTAATATGCCCACAAAACACGCTCTCAAGATCGCTGAAGGTGTCAATGAAACTGCTGAGATGACAAGAGAAGTCAGTAATGGGTTCTCCGCGTCCGCCAGATTATGCATCATGCTGCGATGGGTTGGGAAACAGTACAGTCAAGCTGTTGCGGCCGTACGGTAAGCTCTCACAAGTAGTGGTGCTGACCTGCCATGTCATGATGCGCGAGCCTTATTCAGTTACCGGGCGAAAAGTATGTGGTAATAAAAGAGTCTCATGATGGCAAGACTACGCCATGACATACTCTCTAAGGTGAATCCGTGGCTAACTGTGGTTAGGGCGATGAATATCGTAGTAACGGCATGTATTCCGTTGGCTTCTGTGCGTTATGACCAGAATAGATTGTCTCTACTAGATCTCAGCTTACATTGGAATATTTAGGGAATATTCTCCGGTTGCGGCCTCTCAGATCTGATAGAGTCAGGTTCTGGCAAGAAACTCTCATAATCCAGTGCTCTAACCTCTGTATATCTGATCTTTGGTATTCAAAAGAAACATCTTTCCACTCTAAATCAACCCACCGTTCCTCCATCATACCAATGGAGCGCCCGCCCTCGCTCACATTCAAATGGTCTATGCTAAATCTCGTCCTGGAAAGGGATGAAATCGTGAGAGATCGACAACTTATCCTCCCAGAAATGACTCAGAAGCACTGTTCCCTTAATACCGCCGCTGCTCATTACATCACAAATTGGTCTTGGTTGTAGAGGCCTCACAGGTAAGAGAACTCGCAAGCCGGGCTAGAGTTTTGTTCACAATATCAGATGGGTACAGTCTCAAACATTGGATCCATCCAAATCAAGTATCCCATTGCATAACAAGTCCCAAGGAGCATTCAGAACCGGAAATGACGCTAGAAATGATATTGGTCCGTGTTGGTAGGGCTTCAATCGTTCGTCTCAGACTTTTCAACGTGTATCGTGAACATGCCGTCTCAGTAACGTCGCACCAGGCTTGGAATGAAAGTTTCGCTTGTTTACGCCTAGAGAGAGATAGTAAGCGACACATCTTAACAAGTAGACAATAAGGAAAGGTTAGTGCTTGCATACCTCAGGGGCACTGAGCGGCTTCAGAAGAAATTTGCAGCGATTAAGGTGGCAGGACCCAAGAGATTCGAGGCGAGGAGATTAGCCTCCAGAGTCGGCTTGGCGTTAGCGTCATATATGTAAAAAGGGCTACGATTGACGGCCTAGCATGATTTGCTACCGTTCTCGTTGTGTTGATCTATCACCAAAACTCCCACCAAGGACAAGTGATATGCCGCTTTTGGTGTTCGACTTTGATAACCAAGACGGTATGAATGGAAACTGCGCTGAAAACGATAAAAAAACTAGCCTTGGCACCAACTTGTTAAACGGACTCGCTGACGGCAAACTCAATGACACTGACCAGAAGAGGGATATCCTCGCCGGGCTCAAAAAAGAAGCCGTTGGGCTGCTTCTGCTAAACATTGGGAATGATAAAGGAGCTGGTGGCACCGGTATGGCCTTTACCAGACAGACTATGGTGACAGCAGCAATGACTATGTCCTTGATCTTGAGGTAGGCGGCCCGCAACAAACTGCGAGTGGGGTCTCCCTTTCTGGCATATGCATGGAGATAAGATTCTGTTATGGTGATGAGGGCTTGTTCGGCTGCTCATTCGTACGAGGAGCGTAAAGTCGTCTCTTGAGAGGGTAGTCTGGAAATCAGTGACGCGGCGACTTCAGCTTGAATCTCGTTTAGGAGGGTATCGATATGGGAGGAGACAGTCTTGGAGATGGTGATGGAGATGACGACCTGGGAGAAACGAGGGACGAAAGACAAGGATATTGAGACGGTTTCTTTGGGAAACTTTAGTTTCGAGATTGAAGGCAGACACAAGTTGGTCAGAAACCAAGGGAACAGGTTTGACAGCGCTTTGTTGGTTGAGGCTGAGTTGAAATTTGGTAGAATCAGAGATGAACAGTCGTACTCTGGGGTGTCTGATCGCCTAGACCGAGGAAAATGCTCCTTTCGTGAAAGGCATCTCTGAAGGTAAAGCCTTTTCTCTGCTTTATTCTGGTGAAACGCGAGTGGATGATGGTTAAAGCTAGCGGTGCAAGGGGACAGAGAAGGGCGAGAGGGAAACAAACGAAACGGGTGTTGGACGAGAAAAGGTACAAAGCGGAGAAGCGCAATTGTGCATGCACAGGATGTTACATCTGCAGACAGTTGTCATGTAGTTGGTCTTTTTTTGTTAGACCCATCAATCAACTAGCTCGACTCGATCACTGAGCTGCAGCTTGTACTACTTGTGTAGCGCTATCGCCGCCGCCCAACAGACACTTGACCATCAGTTGAGGGGGATCGGGTATTCCAGAATGAAATGCCATAGTAATACAGACACTAGACTTCACATATCCAAATTGAAAGATCTACAGAAGGCTTACGTCCTAGCTCTTTGATTTCTTTCCATCTTCTATAGCCACATGAAATCTAGGTGGATAATTGCAGCGCTGCTTCTTCGAGGCGCTCGGGACCTACCAGGACACTTGCAAAACTTCTTAAGGGAGGTAAACCCGGGATCATTAGTGGAAGAGAACTCGCGAGGCTCTAAGAGAATATGTAGTGGTGAAAAATATTAGCCTGCGTTGTAACTTCACAGGATAACATGTGGTACTGATTCTCACTAAGGGAGATCTGGTCCGCTCTTTCGGTGATGGCGATCAATACTTATCTGTAGGTTCCTGAAGACTCTTCTCCATCTGACTTAAGCCAGACCTTCTGGGTCGATAAGATGAAGAGTGCCAGGGCCAGGCTGTGGGAATTGGCATAATAGCGTCGTGTTTGACTGTAATCATGTGGTGTATCAAGAGATGTGATTCAGCAGCGAATCTATGTTCCGATTGAGAACTTGTAGATAGACTTGACAGTAGCCATCATGTTAAGATCCAAACCTGAATAACGAGAGTAGCCAGAGTCTATGCCAGCGTTTGGTTTGCCGTGGTTATGATTCATATAGAGAGGCAACTTGGACTGCGTGATGTTTCAAGGAGGATATTGTTCTTGACCAAAGTTGAATGTCGTTAGTAGGCAATATCATAACGCGAATATCTGAGTCAGATGCGGAGAAAACACGGATTCACACGAATTCACAGTATTTCTATAAGTCAAGATAGCTGGCTGGCAAATGCAGCCAATTCAGCCATCACTGCACGAGATCTCCTCGCAACGTCCTTCGTGGGGTTTGTATAGCGTGGTTTCGACAAATACATGAGAAAAAGGTTTTTCATTGGGGAGAGCTTAAGGTCAATTAGTGAAGTACTCGATGCATCAAGCCGTTCAGGCTTCATCAAAGCCAATAAAGACACATTCTTGCCAAGGAAAACTCCCAAGAGATTGATCACCAACTTCGTGAACGTAGCTCTAATCACAAATAACTCAAGGCTAATTCACTCAAAATGGTAGTCCCAGGCGAAATTGACTGGTGGTGGTAGTGGTTGACCGTTGTAGTTTTGACGAGACTGGATGCCGGTACCGATCCAGAGATTAGGGCCTGCGGATAAGTGTGATATACTGGTTTACTAGCACATGAGAGGTATTGACAGCAATCCGTGCGGTTGCTTCTGAAAACAGCGAAACCCTAAGAAGCATTTCATGGGTGTTGTCGGTATGCTTTTTTCTGAGAAGAACTTGGGTGAACAGTAAAAGTTATTGTTCGCCGAGATCTTAACTGACGCGGAACCAGGTTGAGACATGAACGCCGGCTCTTCTTGCTTGGTCTCGTCTGTCCCATCCATTACGGTCAAGAGTTTATCTTAAAGTGGGATAGGAGTATGCTTCTTGCCATTGAGAAAGATATACAGTTTTGAAACAGCACCAAGCCCACGACAGGTACTGTGAGCAGGATATAGACTGCCTTCTCTGCACGGCATGAGATGCCATAGTTCGGTTCGAGGGAAAATGTGAAGTCAAGATTACAAGATGTATACCGCTGTATTATCACGAATATCGGGTGAAGCTGCTGTTTTCGTTCTTATTGAGACGATACTGAACAGAGTCTTTTCACCATGACGCCATATATATTCTTCTGTAGAACATTCACTCTTGCTCTCTGCCACGTTCGCAACGCCGGTCTGACGATGCGATGCTCGACTCCGAACCGGCCAAGCAGTGCTTGTGATACCTTCAGAGCAGAACTCGCCATACCGGTGACAAGACATCTTAACCATTAACTGGTCTCTTTAATTGATCTTCCCTGCAGGTAAGCTGAGTATGGAGCTCGTGGACCAGATCAGCGACCTCCACCGCGGCGACAGGGCGCGCCGAAGGCTTATCATACTTCTCGCCCGGCTTCATGCGACTGAATGTCACTCTAATATCATATCGCGAACTTGGAGATTTAAATATTGATGACGGCGGTAGTAGATCCGTTGTTTACAGCTAGCATCGTGTCACGCAGTCAATTTGCCCACCACTTATGGGGTAAAAAAAGATGCTTCCATTCATTAGAGACTGTCTAGGGGTTATTGGGTTGATTATATAACCGTCTATTCGGTAATTACCGATTTGAAGGTTTTCATGCACAAAATGACATCCCCGTTAGTTTTATATGGGAAACAATAGCCGGGTGCATGGGTTGAATGCATGCCCCGATATATGCAGTGGTCCGTGTGACACACCCCCTCAGAGAGGCAACCTGTTGTAGGTTGATTCTCTGTATTCTCATTCAAATACAGAAATGATACTATTCAGAACTCCGTATACTTACTACCAAATTCCAGATTCATACTGCGTTCTTCTCGATCAAATGTTCAATATTCGCCATACCCAATTGGGCGATAAAGTGGTTGTGTTTTTGGGCTGGCATTGCTTTAGTCATACCGTCTGCCACCATTTCGTTGGTTGGAACCCATTGAAAGTCAATTGATCCCTTCTGTAATTCCTGGCGAAGCCATAAGTTGTTGATATTGATATGGCGTAATTTGCTAGTCGCTTGGGGTCTTTCAGCAATCAATAGTCGAAGAGTTTGCTTATTGTCGCATTGCATGATGTATTTATCATCTAATTGGAGATTCAATTGTTCCATGAGTCGAATGGTTGCCATATATTCTCTTGTGGCTGCTGTCAAAGCAGCAAGCTCAGCTTCTGTGCTTGAAGTGACTACTCTTCGTTGTTTGACTGCTTTCCAATG